TTTCAATATGATTCTGAATAATATATAATGAAATAATAAACGATATCTTACTTCAAGTTATTATTCTCAACTTACACATGATTCATGGCTACTTTCAATCTGTATTCATCTTCTAATTGTTCATAGAGGAGAGGTCGATGAACAGAAACACACACATTATATTTAGACTCCCTTCCCAACAATCTCTCTGTAACTAATTAACAAAGTCAAACATAATTAACCAGCCAAGAACACACCACCTAGATTCAAATATATCTATATATACATAAAATGAAAAAAAAAATCGCAACTTATTGTCACTATTTGATGTTACTTCGTCTGAACCAAACATGGAATCAGAGTCTCATACCAATATAATTAATGGACAAAATTGTAATTTTTGAAGTATCTTATATGTCACATGGCTGTGGATATATCACTCTGAGTTGTAGGTGGCGACTAAATTAAAGCCTATGCTAGACTTTTATATATGAATGTAGGTTATAACAATATATAATATTGTAAGAACGAAATTATGTCTTTTTTTTAATAAAATTTTCCAATATAAATGAAACTACGCAGGGTCCTTGTACTTAGGGTTTCTCTCTGCTATGGAGATAGTGAGTTCCTGATTTAGGATTAGGGTTCCCTGGGTTTTTTTTGGGATTATTCTTAGCGTTCTCCTCTCTTCCTGTCTCGTCGCTCTTGTGCGTCTTCGTCCTGTGTCTGTTTGAGTATTTCTCTTTGCTTTCGTCTTCTTTCTTTCTACTCTGCGCCTTTAGGATTTTCTATTAGACCTTTAGATTCTCGATAGCGGCTCAGGGGTGGTGTGGAGGACTCTGGGATTGTGCGGTGGGACTCTTATGGAGCAAGATCTGGCAGATAAGCTTAATAAGTTCCGTCTTTCGGAGAAGAAAGAATCGGGGGTGGACCTAGTAGATGAGGATGTGGCTCGAGGTCTCTAGAACTGTAAAAACAGCCTTGTCGGCAAAATCTACGGAGAGAAACGAGCCAATTTCAATGGCTTAAGGGCGACTCTTAATATGGTGTGGAGTACAAAACAAGCCTTTGAAATAAGGAGCATTGGGCAGAATAGTTTCCAGTTCATCTTCCAGAATGATGAGGATAGGGCTAAAGTTTTACAGGGGAAAACCTGGACATTTGATGGGCAGTACATATTGTTGAAGAACTGGAGTCCAGAAGGAGTAGATTTCTCAGAGGAAGATGAAAAAGTGCAGCTCTGGGTTCAGATTCATCAACTACATTGGTTGGGATATGAATCAGGAATAAAGATTGGCAAGCTGATAGGAAAAGTCCTTGATGTCTACATTCCTGTAGGAGCTTCTCAACAAGGTAATATTATCAAAGTGCTGGTGGAGGTTAATCTTAAAGAACCTCTGGTGAGGGGTGCGTTTATCAAGCTAGGGGGAGATAGTAGATGGGTGGATTTTAAATACGAAAACCTGCAGACTTTCTGCTTTTATTGTGGGTTGATTAGCCACTCTGAGAGACACAGTCTGGTCAAGAAGAAGGATGTAAGCTGTAATGTGCTGAGAGTAGGGCAGTTTGGGGATTGGCTGAGGGTTTATTCCCCTAGCTGGTCTGATTCTAAGTCCTCTAGGTCTAACTAAGAGGACAGCAACCCTAGTGGGGATGTTACCAAACCTGCAAACCCTACTGATATTATCCCATACCAGTCTAAGGAAGGTAGTGTCAGTGCTAACAGTAGTGGGATGGGGGAGAAGGGTAGTACAGAGAGTGAGAGAGTAGAGGAAGGGCAGGGTAGTGGAAGTAAAATTGGGTCTGGGGAAATGGGTCTGATTCCTTCTCCTGGCATTATGGAAACCCAGGCTCATGATCTTTCTCTCAGCATTGATAACCATCTGATGGAAGTCAATGTGCAATCTTCTCCCTCTGGGGAAATAATGCCTAAGAGGTGGAGG